AGCAAATTTCTTTCCAACTCTGCGGAGAGGCTGCGATCAGTGCTCAGAATTTATAACCAGAGGCGTTTGCAAATACTTCATTCCTGTGGGAGGGACCTGAGGGGTGACCAGCCTGTCTGCCCATAACCCGCCCTGGATATCGGAGTCTACTGACAGCTGCTGTTTGAAAACCAACCCACCCAACTCACAACGACCGAATCCAATACAACAGAGCAGGAAGAGACAAGTGCTGCTTTGGGGAATTGAGTGGGAAGTGGAAGAGACCAGTCCAAAAAGGCAGAAAGCCAAACTCCCATCAAGTTCTCTGATTTAAGAGCCAGCAGTGTGGCCTTTACCTCACAGTTTCCTAATATTCCATTTCAAGCTAAAAATGGAGATGAATCCTTCAAGTGGACGAGAGACATTGGCCACTGGAGTGTTTTCCCACATGTTGGCTACCAAGGCTGTGGCCCAGGGGCCTGACCCATCCCATGCACAACCCCACTGCAGTCAGGGAGCTCTGCCCCAGGCACTTAGCACGGCCTTCCCTGAACTGGCCTCACATGGGCCATCGTTTTCATCTCCTAGTAACCTTGCAAAGCACCAGGCTACAAAGCTGCTGCTCTGTTTTCATAGCCTGCAGTAATTAGTGCCTGGCATCTGTAACAGAAATAAAATGCATAGCACCGGAGTTTCCAAGATGACATTGTTTTCATTATATGTTTAATTTTTCAAAAAACATAAAGGTAGACACATCAAAATGCCAAGAAGCCTTTTTTAATTAGAGCCTCTATATTTTTCCTTTCCTTCTTAAGATACGCCAATGTACTGAGCCATTAAAGAGAAAGATAAAAGGAACCCCAAACATGGTTTATGCGTAGCCTTTATGACTGCAGCTACGGGTTTTGCAGGAGACATTCTTTTGACTGAAGCAAGTTATAGTGTGGCTTGACAGAACTCAGGGCTGCTTTGTGGTGCTCCAGAGGCAGGCAGTGACTGCAAGGATGCCTTGCCTCATTTTCGGAGGTTTCACCTCACAGCACAGACCCTGCACCCAGATTCCACGCAGTGCTCAGCCAGAGGTGACATTCCTTTGCCCTCACAGCTGTTCAGCTGTTTCTGCTCATGCTTTGGGTTACTTGGTTGGCCCAGGTTTGGAGGAAAACAAGAGTGGGTTGCAGCCAGTTTCCCTCTTCTGCTGACCTGAATGCCCACACTACGTGTGATGGTTTGCCATTCATGTATCATGGACCTCCTCCTCAGAACAGCAGTGCACTGTCCTGGGAATATGGGCACAGTTGGCAGTGTGTGAAAAGTTGTCTCTGTCCAAATCACTGGTGTAAATCTTCCAGGCTGCTTAGCCCAGCCAGGGTTTTGCCTCAGAAGCTTGGGATCAAGCTCCATGTTATTTAGTTGGCAGGACAGAGCTTGGTGTGGGTTTCACTGAGGTGATTTCATAGCCCTAGCACTGCAGCGTTTTTGATCAGCCTCAGTAATAGTTAGCAAGGACATTTGGATCTGTGCCTCACTGTAGATGCTGCTCGACCTCTCTATTGCAGGCCTAGCAGCCAAATAAGTTCAAATAAACTGATCCAAACATTGCAGTATTTATTCAGGCAAAATTCACTGTTTTCCTTAGATAAAGATGAAATAAAAACTGAATCAGGACTTTTGCGACTGGCCCCTTAAGAGCTAGAAGGCAACACTTTTGAGACACCTAATGGAAGAACAATATGTGTGAGTTCAGCATGGCATTTTTTATTTTTATGTTTTTATTTTTCTTATATATTATTTACAAGCACAAGCTTTCATATCTTTAATGTAAAAATGCATACAGATCATTATATATATAAAAATGAACCAGCATTGTAGCAAACTGCTAGGTCCAACTACCCCCGGGCTGGGGCAAGTTGTCTGGATCCAGTTATGAATCCAGTGGCTGATCCTCACTTCCACCCGAGTTGCACCAAACCCCCAGATAAGAAGATTCTCAAAGTTCTAGGGAAGTCTTGGGTCCTGATCCAAGTCTTGCAGCATGGGCATGACTAACTCTTCATCAATTGAAGATAAATATTCAAAAACTTCATAAATGACAATCAACTTGTTGTAGGTAACAAGTATCCATTTCACCTTTCCTCCCCCTTTTTGTTTATCCTCCTTGCCATCCTCTCTCCACAGAAATGGTAATGGGAAGAGGAGAGAAATCTGATGTTAGTGTCAGATAGATACAGAATTTGAACCCTTGATGTCTGCTGCAGAAAGGCAGAGTGTGGGTTCATGTTGCATTTGGCCTTTTCAATGCTTGGGCAATTTGGGGCTCGATTTGCACATGGTATAGAAATACGACGTGTTCACAGCATAGTCAATAACAGGTTGCAACATTGTGAGCCAGAGTGAAGGAGACTGCATTCAATACTACGCAATGTGTACCAACAGATCATAATATACTATAGTATAACTGGCTTGCAAATCAGCCTGTGACACCGAGGGGACAGAGAATTAATGAGCAATTAAGCAAAGAAGTCTGTGTTTGTGTGGGAGGAAAGGTCACAGAATAGAGCCTCCTTCGGACCGGTGTTTATCTTGTTCGGCAGTTTCCAGACTCAGCCTTTGCAAAGGAATGTTACTATTTTTATTAGGAGTTCTTTATGTAACAAGTGATGTTTGCACAGTGGAACATTTTCTTTCACCAGGATTTTATAATTTCTCTGTATAGACATTATCAAAGAAGATACAGTTTGCTGGGATTCGTCTGGCCATAACTTAGCCTCCCCTTCCTTTCAACTCTTCTAATATTCATATGATTATTTTCTCTCGCCATTCAGGTATAACCTTTTCACATTTTAGAAGTAGCTCAGCTCTGAACCCCAGGAAAGGTTTTCAGATACAAGAACTGCTTTAGTTTTCTTAGAGAGGGATAAACCAATTGCTTAGCATACTGACGCAAAGACTTTCCTCTCAGCTGTGTTGCCATGGGATTGCAGGTAAGGATTTTGTTTACTTCAGATCCGTGCAACAGCACTGATTTGACAGATTACAGAAGGACTTAGTGCTTCAACTTGCAAATGCTCATTCTGGCTCCTGATGTAACTACCTTGTCTACACATTCAGGCCCTCAGCTAATGACTGAGGTTTGTGACCAGGCACGAGCTCTTTCTTTTACACTTGTATTGACGGCACATTACTAACAGGAACAAAAATGGCAAAAACTATTTTTACTTCGTTTTCCTTTTTAATAGAAGTTAGAGCTATGAGGAATAGTTTGGGAGCTGGTGTGTCACAAAGCCAGCGACGTGTTGCAAGAACCCCCTGCCAGAAGGTGACGTTTCCATTGCAGCGTGTCTGGGTGACACATGGCAGTATGCCTGAACACAAGGGCCAAAATCTAGGCATTGATTCCAGGAGAGTGAAATGAATTTTCACCATCCAGAATACAGAAACAGAGGAAACGAACAACAGCACAAATAAAATATACATGTGAATATGATGTTCTATGATGCTGGTTGGGTAAAAGAGAAAGCTTAAAAATTTTGACTTTAGTAAAATATCTTTAAGGAAATAATTTAAAAAAACATCCTGACTTGGAAGTTTTCTCTGTTGACAGGGATATACAGACCTGATTCTCCACCCTGTTCCATCACTTATATGGCTACCTCTAACTGTATAAATGTGCTATCCAACCAGATGATATACTCACTCTCCTACATCTGTGGCAATTTGCACTTGAGAGCCTTTTTGGAGTTACTTCCTCACAGAGGCAAATAACCATATGTAGTACAAAGCAGTGGAGAATAAAGTTGTAAGGAGTTGCTACCAAGAGGCTGTTCCTCAAAGGAGAATGCTGCTAACATTCCCCTTTGTCTTCCCAGCCTTCGGCTGTGGTTCTGCATGATGCCAGTCTGAGCTGCACACCATGCAGCCTAAAGGGATGCAACGCCACTGGTGGGAGACCAGCACCATCAGAGTGAGAATCATCCAGTCTTGGTCCTTGCATCTTTTAGCAGACACTTAACAAACCAGACTGGAGTCAAAACTTGACAGCTGGCTTAAATGAGATGCATGAGAGAGGAGAAAAAAATGGGCACCTTTTATCCCAGGGACCAGATATGATAAAATGCACTTTCACTTCAATGTGCCAGATAAAAGTCACAAAAAGCCTGTGCTGGTTTAAACCACAGAGTGCTCTGAGCAACATCTGCAAGTTTAAACAGCTGGAAGTTATGGTCTTTTGATAGGGTAGAGGCCATTCACATCTGATTTGCATTTGGGCTTAGACTTCAAATACTTGCCTTCCCAAGGATTCAGTTCTCCTTCGGTATAAGATAGACTAAGAGGAACTACTTCAATTGAAAACAGACCAAAACAAAAAATGTAAACAAAAGCTAAAAACTACCCATAACTAAATCAATACTAATATATTTTGGCTTTTCTTTAGTTTGATTTCCCAACATATATACTCCTATTTCCCCAAGTACAGTACTGCAGTTTGGGGGGGAAATGCTGCAATGCCACTGGACTGGCCAATTAGTTCTTGATGAATTCTGCAGTTTCAGAGGATCTGGAAAAGCAGCTGAACTTCAGCTCTCTTGAAACGTGTATTTTGCTGGCTAAACACTCCATGAAATAGACCTTTCCTATTTTGTTTTGCACACCTTGCTAAGAACATCAACGCTCATAGATCTGACAAGAAGAAGAAGAAAGGACGGTTTGGAGTAAAAGCACACGATGCGCCAACTCGGAGCTGGAGAAAAGTGTCAGGTGAACTTTCTGATACAACACAGCAGCCTCATCATGCATTCAGTCCTTGAGAACACTGGCTGTGATAGTGTTTGTTGGACTGAGGGCTGAATCTTACTCTCCAGTGGCTACTGAGCAGCTGGCAGGCTGGAAATGATGTTTAGGCACTACTGACTTGCAGGGGACTGGAGCTAGCTGTGCAGAAGGAGAAGATGCTCTGTTGGTGCCAATCCCCACAATCATCTAGTCCTTTGGAGTTCATTTGGTGGTTTGTTGTTGTTTGTTTAGCCAGAAGCAGTGTGGCTAAATACATTTCAAAACAGGAACATTGTATGACTCCATGTTATTTAAAAAAAGTGGTGGTGTCTGTCTTTTGTAAATTGCAAAGCTTTGACCATTCTTAATGAAATGTGCTCTGCCTGCCTCATCCCTACTCCAAGCTAATATGCTCTAAAATGCTTCTCTGGCTTAGTACAGCTCTTTTTAGCTGCTGATTTTGGTAAGCATCTTATTAATTGCCTGCTTGACGTGGGTGGTGGAGCTTCGTCTCCGAGTCTTGCCCTGCACCATCTTTCGCCGCCGCACCTCCCGGCACAGCTCGTAGAAGGCCTCCATGATGTTGCCCTCTCCCGTGCAAGCGGAGCACTCGTAAAAAGCACATGCTAGTTCTGTGGCCAGCTTTTCACCTTCCTCTGTGCTCACTTGCCTGGAGTGATCCAAGTCTGCTTTGTTCCCCACCAGGATCAGGGTGACGTTTTTTGGCTTTTTAACTTCATCCAACAAGTTCTTAAGCGGCAGCATTTCCTCAAAGCTGCCTCTGTCCGTGATGTCGTAAACCAGCACGAAGCCTTCGCCCCATCGCACGTGTCCTTCTTTCTGAATAGCATCCTCCTGTTTGAAAACACAGACACCAGCCTCAGGAATTTGATTATGAAGAACACACCAGACCTTCAGATAGCTGCTGGGCCTCCAAAGCCATCCACATCTGCTTTATGCTACACTTTATGCACATCACCTAGTGAATCACATAGCATAGCAGATCTGCTCTGCCCAGGAGCCTTGGGCTGCCTGTGGCCAGGCTGGTAGCAGGCAATTGGCAGAGAGGCTCTGTCCAGTGATACCCAGCACACAAGCTGCACAGGCCCATGCAGCATGGGCACCTGCTGCTCTGAAAGGAAGGGAGACCTGACTGACAAAACTGCCCTTCACTTTGGTAGGAATCATTGACCGAGGCTGTAAAGCCTCATCACTTGGTTGTAGAAATAGACTGTGACTGTGCTTAGTAATGACATGTTGGTGGGTTGGCCCTGAATCAAGGCATGAGAACAAAATAATTTTAACCAGAGTAAACCTTGACTCGCTTGTTCTTGCAGTACTCGAAAACCCTAAGCAGGGTCCCTCGCAGAAGGGTCTGGCTCCACTGGGTCCAGCTCCGGGGTGATGGTGGTGGTGGAGTGGCAGGGAGCTCTGCCCAGAAGCAAATCTCTGTCCCCAGGAGCAGAGCACACCTGCCTCCCACCGCAGTGCAGCCCCCACACACTCCCCTCCCCTGCTGCCTGCTGGGTAAGAGTCAGTGCCCACGCACCTGGCCAGCTGTGTCTAGTATCTCCATGGAAACCACTTCATCATCAATGGTAGCTTGGTGACGATACGTAGACTCTAAAATAAGAACACATAGTGCAAAACGTATTAAGAGTGTAATTTTTTTAAGTCCTCCTTACAGCTCCCCCAGAACAAGACCAGAGATGTGACGCAGTTTGACTAAATTGTATTTGCTGGAGCTCTTCCAGCCATTCTGGATCAGACTTAAGTCCTCCTTTCTACAACAACACTTTTATCTCTCACCATACAGTACAACCTTTTCTTTCCCATGTGTTGGACCTGCAAAGGGCTGTGCCTGTGGATGCTGCACTCTGCACCCAACAGAAGGCCAGTTTCCTATGGCAGAGTATACTGTGGCAAGGCTATATCCCATTTTTCATGTTTGCTCCTAGGGAAGGCTGCTACCTATGGAAGACAAATAGCACAGCTCTCAGAGTATCCAGCTCAACAGCCTGTCACTGCGTAGCTTGAAGTCTCACAAGATCAAAACCAGCGTGGTTGCAGATCAAGGAACCTAATCACTAAGCTCAGGCCTTATATTGTGAAAAAATTACAGAGCAGTCAGCTATTTTAGTAATGTCTCTTTGAAAGACGCTGAAATCATCACATTCGCCTCTTCTAGCAAGGGCTCAAGCAGTGATTTCCCTGTATGATTTATAAGGATAACCAGTGGGCATTAGGCATTCACAACGTGCTACAGGAAAAAGAGAACCCATCACTGTGTCCCAAGTTCTGGAATCAGGCAAATACTCAGAAAGGTAATGATGAAAGGGCTTGTTTTATTTTAATAAGCTGATTAGTTAAATGTGATAGCATTTGACCTAAAACTTGGAAAATTACCTGTGCTACCATTCAGATTTGACTGTTTCTAGCTCACAGATGTCCTCATCCAAAGGCAAACGTGTATGCTGTCAAAATCTGTCCAGTGACTGTCAATGCTTTGCATTGTCAGAGACACAACCGTTTCGTTTGGTGTCAATCTCCATAGGAACGAAGGATATCTCTCAGGAAACAATTCTTCAACTCAGACTTCTGTTTGGTGACTGCCTGTTTTTGTTACGTACTTTAAAACATCTCAATGCTGTCAGTGCTGCAAACACTCTCTTCCCAAAGCAAAAATGTCAGTTCCACCCTGTGCCCCCTTAATTGCTGTATGTAGCCCAGCTGCCCCTAATTGGGACAAATGGCCAATTTACTTAGGCAGATGGCAAGCAGTCTTGCTGAAGGGCTTCAGGCAATGAAGACTCAGGTATTTTAAGGCCTGGAAACGCCCCTTCTGTTTAGAATGTCGATGCTGAAGGAGATGGAGTCCTACCTTTGTGATCCTGAGGCTATACCTACACAGCAGGGTAAGATACCTTTGAGTCTTTCGGTGGTCAGTCTTCCTGTCCCTCCTGCACACCCTCCTAGCTGCAGCCATCCCCCACCTGCACACCCTCCTAGCTGCAGCCATCTCCGGGGGAATGCAGGAAGGGCAGCAAGCTCTAGTTTGGTGAGGAGGATGCAGTGATGCACCTTGAACATGTTGTTTCAACTGCTAAAATGTTCAGTACTCCAAGGTCAAGGTTATTTAGGAAATGATGCTTAGTCTCTTTGGTGGAGGGTGCTGTGAAGATGAGATGGCTCTCTGAGTGAGTAATGTGATATTAACTCCTTACTTGTTAGGGCTCTGCAATGCTTAAATGCTTTCAACCATCTGGCCCTGCCTGACAAGTAGTTGTTGCAAATTTGTTCATGCAACTTGAGAAACTGCTCACCAAGCCATGACTGTAGCATATATATGAAATGTCCCTCTCAGGAGGCAGAGTGAGGCAGGTCATACAGATCTTCCCTGTGAAATGGGAGAATAAACCTCTGTGCTCACTGCAGGAAGGCAGCATGATTCTTAAATGATATTGGAGTGCTCAAAATGGGACTCTGGCAGCACTTTGTGTTGCAAGTTTAGCTCACCTTGGCTGCTCATGTTGGAATGGAATTTGGATGAGCAGCTCCAGTTTGGGTGAGGTTTGCATAAATAAATCTTAGCAAATGTGTGTCTGTTCCTGTGCTTTGGAATGTGTGGTAGCTGGGTGAATTTTAAAGAGGAGCCTAAAGCAGATGGACATTGAAAGCATTTCTTTGTGTAATCACTTATATGGCTTCTCCTTCAAGGGAACAGAAACATCTGAAGAATCTGGTTGTCTTGTAAGTTATGGGCTCTGAAGATGTGAGCTCCAGTCTGTTCCCACTGATCCCATGGTACTTCACAAATGCACTGCCTTTCTCTGGGATTTATTAATATCGTTTTTGCTGTGGGTTTGTTTTTTGGGTTTTTTTTTTTTAGACCTGCAACTAGAGAGAAATTACAGGACTTGAGAACTGCTGGATCCCTCACTGAAACCATTGACAATGCAGGTGTCTATGTCTCAGCTAAGCACTCTTGACTCCTTTTAGAGCTGAAGTAAAATAGGTGCAGAATATAGCTTCTGTGAGCTCTCTCCCGGGATAAATCACTCCTCAACAGTACCTGGAAGTCTAAAATTCACCAGATGAATCCAGGCTGTAAACGTCTTACGCTTGCGGCATCATGGCTGAGGAGAGAAAGCAAAGTGTAACTCTGTACTAGTGGCTCCCAAGGTGACTTTAGGCAATTTGCTGAGCTTCAGATTGTCTTTTGCACCAGGTGATGCCCATATAGTCCCTCTCTCTCTGGACAGAGCCTCATAGATGGAAATGAAACTGCAGAGCTGTCTTTTGCTCTCCACAGACTGTGTCAAAGCTGCCAGCCTCAAAGCAGAGTTAGGGGCTGCTGTGCTGGCCGAGCCATGGTTTGTCTGGCTCTGGTAATGCTGTGGACACAGTCAGATTTGGTGGTTTGCTCTGCTCAATATAAATGAGTAAATCTGACCTGTTCTTGTTGGTCTGGGGCTGTGTTATGCTTCTAGTCATGTTCCTAGTAACAGGACCAAGGGTGCTGACGTGAGTGTGGCTTTGAAAGCTGATTGCAGACTTCAGAGTCCCTCCTGGTGACAAAATCCCCCCAGCACTCTGGCTGTGCAAAGCACTCTTGATTCTCAGACCTGTGTCATCTGGAAAACTGAAGTTTATTTCAAAAATATTTAGAGCTGTCAAAAGGCCTGAGAAACACACTGAAAGTGGTATCAGTTGGTTTGGTTTTAAGTCACCATAATTTATTAATAGGAATGGAATGCACTTTTCAAATCACCACAGCTGGTGAATAATTATGGAAAGAATGATTTTGCAGGATGCCCCCCCCCAAACCCAACAACAAAACTTCCCTGGGGGCTCTCAGTGTGGATAAGCATGTTACAAATCTCCTTTTCTTCGGAGCGATATGATTTAACAAAATAAAGGAAAAACCTACTTCCATAGAGAACTTTGAAGCCCTCGGTGCACAGACTGTCTATGGATGAAATATTCAGTCACAGCTTGTTCACATCATGTCCTTGCACTGTGCTTACTGTTTAACAGAGTTTTGGCCCTTAGGACATAGCTGGTCATATATCAAACTACCCCTATTTATTGAATATATTTGTTCCAGAATATTATATTTTCTAGAGAAAAACTATTATCTGAAAAGTAATTTCTAGTTCTTGGTTTATATTTGCAGTGATGTAAAAAGTTGTAGTGATGTAAAAAGCTGTTTTCAATACCTGTTTATTTTGAACAGGCAATGTATATCAGGGTATGTCATGGCTCTGGAAGGAAGTAATTACACGGAAGTGTTTATTGCTTTTAGGAAAGCACTTGTAGTAGGGTAAATCAGCTGAGATGGAGTGATGACATACACCATTTTACTTACAAAGTTAAGGGATGGCCGGGTCTCTTGTTGTTTTGGGGTTTTTTTTAAGTACAGAGGGACACAAACTCTGTTTCCATTCAGAATTCTCATTCATTTTTGTCAAAAAGCATTAAAAAAATAGGGACATTAAAAATGCATTAGGAAACTTCAGTCTCATGGTGGCTTCCAGCCAGTTGGAGCCAAGAAACACAAAAGACCTGGAGAAAAATTCTTGTGTAATGATTATAGCTGAGTTTTCAGATCGAAAAGCTTCAGCTAATAGGCATGAGCTTCTAAGTTATGGTGAAAGTCTCCTTGGACACCAAGGCAGCAGTATGTTTAAAAGACTAAACCCCCATAATCAGCACTGTTAAGATGATGGAGACTCCTGTTGAGTCCTGCAGTCTGAGGCCCATCAGGATGGCACCTGCCTATCCTGGAGATCAGTGACTTTAACAGTCCATTGGGAAAACACTGACCTCCCTTATTAACCCTGGTGTTGTCTGACATGTTCCCAGAGCCTTCCTTGAGCCTGCCTCTGTGAGATCTGTTTCCCTCTGCATCTCCCTCCTGCTTCAGGAACTCTGAACCTTTTAGAAAGCCTCTGGAAGTGCAATGTACCTTCCTGACTCGAAAAGTCTCTCCTGCTTCTTCCTTCCTCAGCCCCAGCTTTTCTCAAAACACAGCTGAATGTATTTTCCTTGCCTGCCTCTGGCTGTTACACACTGCCTCTGTTATTTGCCTTACAGGAGGGGTTTTATTTTGCAGTCATGGGTGGTTTTGCAGGAAGCACAGTACTGCCCTCGTGTATCTGGAAGATATTGCTAATGCTAATGCAGCAGAGCCCCACGTGTCTCTGTCCATCGGTCCCACAGAGCCCGAAAGGAGTGTAGTTGGCTTTTCTGTCAATAATGCCATGCCATGCACGTGTGACCCCGAGAGCCAGGGAGTGCACAGCTTCCAGGAGGCTGCACACACATCAGAGCTGTGATGTGCTCTTCACGGGTGACTATGACACTACACGAACATTCATGCTGAGCCACAAATTTAAACCAAAACACGTATGAAAGCAGAAGATAGTAGTTTGCAGAGTTATGACCCAGCTCGGTGGTCTCTCGCCTGCTTCGCGTGCAGTTTGCTGTTGTGAATGCTGCTTTGGGGACTGACGTGGTGATGTGCAAACAAGTTTCCTTCCTAACTTCATTTCTGGCTGCCCTCTACGAAGCTGCCTCTGCTGTAATTAGTTGTGGCTGCAGTACTGCAGGTGTTTCCAAAC